TGAGGATACACCAGATGGGACCGATTGCATCTAATAGCTACTTCATTATTTGGCAGCAACAAAAAGTGAATGAGCAAAAAACCTCTAATATAACAGTGACGTTATTTTCGCTTGAGGCACCATCTCTCGAGCAACGGCACTCGATTGGACGCGACTAAACTCTAAACAGAAACCACTAATTTTATGCATCTATAAAAAAAGGTGTACATCATGATCTCTTGTGTTAATACACTGCAAACTTAAACTTTGTGCGTAGCGCTAAATGTATTTATTAACTAAAGCGGTTATTTTTAAAGAAAATTGGTTGTAATTAAAAGATCAAGTACTTTTAACAGGTTTCGTTTATGACACTGTTATTCTATGCAAATTATTCAGTCATAAGTTTTGCAATTTAACATCTGAAACGGTGTCATTATGAATAACAAAATCAAGTATTATTCCTAATGACATATGGTATGGATCCCATTACTTTGGCTAACTTTGTAAAAGCACTGGAAACTCTGGCTAACTTTGGCGCCCTTCAACGCATTATCATAAATGAATTATGTATACCACGGAACATAATTTGGTTTTTACATTTAATTTGTACAAGGGTACCACACTGATGCTGACCGCGTTAAAGATATACTATCAAAACTACGGGATCATAGAGTCATTGTTGTCTTCAAACGGTGTTTCCCATGAGATTTTAACGAGTTCTGTAACTACAGACAATTTAGTAAATTAATTTCGTTGCGGTAATTTCACCGCGCTCATAAGAACGTAAGGAAATGTATGCAGATTATGTAACTAAAACTCAAAGGTCAGGCAAGAGATGCAAGAAACCGATCGTCAATAAACACCGTCATTACTGAGTATTGAAACATCATTCTTATGCTGAGGGTTCTTTCAAATAATATTAAGTAGGTAAATCGTTTTGAGCCGGACGTACATCAGTCGGCAGTTTGAAGGACCGTACACAACTGTATGACAACTGCGTTGAAATAAAAGTCAATTAGGTACCCTACTTCAAGATGGTATCACGTTTACTTGTAAATGCAAGCACTCTTTTGTTTTCCCACTTAACAAAAAAGCCTCGTTTCTAGTGATATAAGTTTACATAACAAGTATCGATTGCAAAGCAATTACATCGTACTTTGCAATAAATCTATTTTTATTACATAATGCTATTCACCACATACGAGCAGTGATTGTGATATCTGATACAATATAGTCACAAAATAGATAGTAACAGAAGGCAATCACCTGTATGTACTTCATTTTACATAGCACACAGACGCGTGTCACTAGCGGGTGGCACTCGCGCTCGCACTGGTTTAAATTGGTCTGCGACACTTCGCGTTGTCTATGTGTGCGTTGCCCGATCGGACTTTGTATGTAGATTGTCTTCTGATCCTACCTACTTTGTGATATGGTGGTGTCTGGTGACAGCAGCGCCAGCCAACCGTTCGATGGATGAATTAGATGCCGTTCGTTTCTTAGTCACTTAATTAATGTACATTATTAAGGCATTGTATTGATCATTCATTTCTAAATGCAAATTATTGCCTTCTTTCATGAGATTCAGCGGCTAGATTGATGAATGGCAGTAATGTAGAGTTTTGCTTTAGTTTTATTTTATTGCAATCTGCGTATGACTCCGTTTGCGTAGATTTCGATAAAAGATACCCACCACTTAGGTTTGTTAATCTGATGTAAAGTTATATAAATCATTGTGAAATATTCAAAACCCGTTCAACAGTTTCTGAGTTAGAGAGCCAACATCTATCCATCATCATAAACTTTTGCGTTCAAAATATTAGTATAGAATATTTTTATAATATTCAATGCCAAGGACATTGTCTCACACTTTAGCTCATCTCGCAATATGACCCGGTGTCAGCGCAACGATGAAACAAACAACCATAGTTTAACTTTTGAATAATGTATTCTTTCTTTGAACTTATATTTTTGAGTGCACTGGGTCAATGGCAGCATTACTAATTTTTACCTAAACAGTATATTTTATGAATACCTACCGGCTCTACAATCGTCTATAAGAAACAATAGGTAGGTAATTGACATATCAATAAGCTTTGCTGAAAATGTAAAAACTCTACTATTTTCCCCGGAAAAAGCTTTCTTCGTCGGGCTGAAACATTCAGCTTTAATTCAAACCCTGGTTTCGCTTGAAAGTTAATCTTACATTACGCTCAGGATTCAAAGCACATGTAACGTGAGACAATGGTTTATTCACATATTGTAATAACAATAAGCATATACTCGTACCATTGAGAAACTGTAGAATACTTACACTACATGATTTTTCAGGATATGACTTTTTATTTTATAACATAAAATCCTATTAAACAAACAAGATGTCTTATATCAAAAAGGCAACCGGATCTAACAGCTTTTATAAATGAGCCATTTTTATGGCGGTCAAAGGGTGTCCCAGGGCGTTTTTACGACTTCGGAAAATCATCCCAAGTAAAGCTTTTATTGGTCATATATGACCTTAGGTGCATATACGCACAGCAATATATTACAGCTATTGTTTTTTATTTACTTTGTGTTCAATCCATTGTTTTTAAGTCAACCCTCTTTTGGCCAACAAGAAAAAGTGCTTCTTTCTTTTTTGCTTCGTTTTAACTAGAACATGAAAATATAATAAAATGTTACGCCCATTGGAATCTATTTAATGTAAGCTACAAATATTTCATTTTATAAGTAACTTAGCGTCTTTGGCTCGTTTTAATTACCAAATAAATTGTCCAAAACCTTCCTTGCAGCCGCAAATGAAAATCTATTTGGAAGTTATGTTAATGAGAGGCCAATTAAGAGGAGAGCAGGGGGATAGCAATGTTAATTTACAGATCTTGGGAATAAATAATATTAAAAATTACTAAAGTTGATCGACGCATTTTGACTTCTGACACACTTATGTTTTGAGTTAAAAAGGTGACTTTGATTTTGAACTGATGTTTAAAGGTGAGTTGGGCGCTACACGTGATGAACCAAAAACCTGTACATCCACTGACATTCATGGTTACTACGTAGCGTAGCTAATCGTATAATAGGAATAAGTAAATAATATTAACAATCTCAAATTGAACGACGCATTTTGAATTCACTATCATAAGAACACAGTTATGATTTTTGAGTTAAAGGTGACTTAAGGCGCTAAATGTGATGAGCCTAAAGCCTGTCCATCCACTGTCATTCATGATTATTTACTATTGCTTATAGTAGCGTAAGTAATGGTATACTTTTACTACATTATATTGTCCAAGTCGATAAGTTAGTGAAATAATAACTTTTCTACAAAGCCCTTGATACTAAATCAAACCAACAACTAGAACCCGATTATGAGATAGGATCTTGGGCCTCAAATACAAACCTACAAAAACAAACTATGAAAGTTCACCTAACTTTGCTGTTAAACTTTGTTTGCCGTTTTTATAACCTAGAGCTTTAAAAAGTAACATAGGTAGGTACTTAAACTTTGAGTGGCTCTTAATAGTCAGAATGTTGTTACTCTCTATCTATTACATAGTTAGTTGTGACAAAATAAAAAATACTGATTGTGATTTCACTAGCGAAATCCTTACTCCACTGATCAATAGAAGCAGGCGGTGAACCCACAACGGTCGTGAATGGAAGGATCTCCAAAGACAATCTGACTAAGGATGCGGGCTGTCATAACATGATCACCGTTTACCAATCTCAACGAAAATCAATGGAGAATTCACATTCGAAGTGAACTAAGATGATGATGAGTGTGTCGGTAAATATAACAAAATATCAGGTACCTATAATCAGGTGGTGCTGATGTAAATAATGATAGATAAGGTGATTAGGAGGTTTAAGGTAAAGAATAAGAAAAGGACGAAATTTGCAGCGAAGAATTAATGTACATACATAGCATCCAATTAAAAACACGCGTATAAGTGCCTTGGAAAGGGCCTGTGTACTGAATAAACTATTTGATTTGATTTGATAAGTAATCTGTAAATAAATAGAATATTTCTATCGCAAGCATGTAAAACTGTTTATCTCCAAATACCGGTCTTTGTTTTGTGAATGTTATTACATCTTTATTTACATTACATTTTTGCTCCCGTCTCTATGAATATTTGAGAAGTTGCTCCCCTCCAAACAAAAAGTAATTTGCTTGCATATTATTATTTTATATTATTTCATGATTACATGACTCGGAATTTTATCGTCTACTTTCGAAGGTTTTTCTTTTGATGTTCAATTATTTCATTCGTTTTTAGAGTCACATCACGTTTCTGAAGTATCCAGGATTAAGTACCTACTTATTTTATGTCCTTTATCTCTCTCAAAAAGTTATCGATATACTTACAGGCTTACAGCTAATTAGTGTTTAGCTATTTCTACGCCTACACCGTCATACAGGGTGCGGCGTCTCCAAAAAACGTGTTATTCAATTCATTTAACTATTGTAAAAACCTTAAAAAAACTAATTTTAACTATCTCTATATTGCATATATTACTTTCTCGAAGCTAGGTGGTGTGAGGAATTTCTAAAACTTTAATTGTTGTTTAATGAATGATCGTACACTTTTGGTGTGAACTGCCTACCTGGCAGGCCTACATAACTTACTTATCCGCATTTTCTAAAATGTCATATTTCCATACTTGTGTAGGCCGGTGCTTCAATTCACATACCAAATATATTCACAGCCTTACAGGCCAATATCAAACTAAACTTTAACTTTAGCCTAAATCATTTCATTTAGATCACGTATTTCTCTGTTAATTTTTTCAGCTCACTAAAATAACAACCATTAAATAGGTTTCAATTTTGTATTAAAATTAAGTAGGTTACTGATGTATTTTACGTGCTCTACCAAAACATTAAAAAAGTAAGGCAATGCTCATGAATGTGTAGTAAGTAGCAGTAAATCCGCAACTAATTAAACTCCATACAGCTTTCATAAAACATCTGCAATTCATCTTCATCACCTAAAAATCAGTGTAACAGAACAACTTACCGTTTTCGGAAAACTCGACAGCGCTTCAATAATCTAGATCACAGTTTTTAGTTCAAAACTGCGCTGATATCGAAACGAGTTCAAAATAAGTTTGTAAAATCCACTCTGGAGTTCCCACTTCACACAATCAAACACCAAGTAGTACGAGTGTCCTTACACAATTTGTTATCACATGCAATTTCACTTTCTACAGAGCGCTCTAGCCGGGAAAGGCCGGCCACGTTCCGATCTCCGCAAAACTTCTCTCGAAGAGATGTCGACCGCCCGCGAGCGAACACCCTGTAGCCTGCACGCCGCCCGACCGCCGAACAGCGACTGTGATAACGACACTTCCTACGAATGAACCTGCCGCCTCTCCATAGACGCGCGTATAAGCTCGCCTCTCTCTCGCATTCGACCACACCCCACAACACAATCTCAACCCTGCATCCACGCAACAAGAAACACATTCCAACAACACCCGCCCCGCCGAATACGTCTCGTTCGGAACGCGTAACGAGTTTACGGTACGTAAATCGTAGTAGATTTGTTTTTCAGCTCGGCCACAGTAATCCGGTTCTTCGCTCCGGAGCTCAGAGCGCTTTTTTCCGAATCAGTTCCCGTTAAATAGAGCCTTCTTTTTATACAACCTGCCGCCTGGTAGCCTATGTAGGGAACGCGGAATAACCGCTATGGACAAGATGCCAACTTTCTAAACTAAACCTATAAGAGCGGTCTATTCGGCCGATGAATTACGTTATTTTTATTGGAAGTTACTCTGGCCGGGACAATAATAATAAAGCATTTAGGAGATTGGATAGTCGGCGGCGATTGTGCGCGGTGCAACCGCGTGTCGTAATTCGCGTTTTTACATCGCGCGTTTTCCGCCAGCGCTGTGGTTTTACTTTCGGTGTCAATTACGGGCTGTGGTCGAAGCCTCACAACGGCCGGCAAATTGGATGCCAGTCCCCTGAACCAGATTAACCACCTTGCGAAGGTTGTCGCTCATTGCGCAAGGACCGAGTAACCTCACATCGAAATAGGTCGTGCATGTAATAGAATATAGCATTATTTGACTCAGAAGGACACAGACTTAACGCAGATTAATATCTATTTGTGTCACTTTTCGTTAAAAAGACGGTCTCTCAGCAGTCTGCGAATTTCAGTGGGGGCGCCATGAAGGCTGCACATTTTCACTGATAATGTGAGCCGATAAGATGAACATATATGTACATCTTCGTATGGACAGCTGGAGAACGGAATATGGGGTAGCCGAGGAACAAGGGTATTCATTTCACAGGGTGTAGAAAAGCCTTTAGCCGGAATACTAAGAGACATCTGGATATACCTTAGAGTCTAAGAGTCCATAAGGCTTAAACAATAAGTAATGGAAGCGTCATCTCTACCCAATTCTACCCTAAAAAGTAAGCTTGTCCGAATACCAGAACACAGGTTTAAACATCATTTTATATAGATACTTAAACAAAATTAGTTATTGTTAGAAAACACCTAAACCAAAACAAAGTTTGTTCATACTTGATCAAAAATATTTGAATTGTGTGTGCGAAGATCGAATCCGCGACCTCTGGCATAGTAGACAAGCGAGCCGCCCAAGCGACTATCGTGTAACGAGAAGAACAGACAGTAACTGATATTATATCTATTGTCATAATGCGCTTGAACACTCGAAGAAACTCGAAACTTGGCGTGCGGTTCCTTTGAGCATACAGCTATATGGCGAAGGCATGGAAATATTGAAACCGTAAACCCTTCCGAGTGATCCCGGGACGACCCGAACTGGGTCAGCATTTGGCAATACGCGTCGCGCGTTAGGACGCCTTCACATTGTAAAGAAGTTGCGAATAAAGGAATAAATGTTCGAAGCTGCGTTAAAAATTCAACCTCATATGTGACACGTTTCCAAAGCAGTATTTGTTGTTGTCATCATCTCCATATTATATTGTGGTGAAGTGTGCTGATCTAAAATGTTATGTCGTGTTACCAATGTTACCATGCCCCAATTTGAAAAAAGGCAATATTAGCAATAGAATTTTCATTATCATTAGATAGGATTAGTAATTAATATGTTAGTGACGAAAAATGAAGATGCGATCAAAGATGTAGCTAATTTGGCCAGAATATGCCTCATTCACTTATAATATAATAGCTTGAGGGCGAAAGAGTTTCAAAACAAAAACCAGCTTAAAATTGTATCAAAACTACGAACTATTTTACCTGAAAAATGACGGTCAACGTTTTTTTATACCACAACGGGAACTCTTGGCCTGCATCTCACCTGAAAGTGATGAAATCTCACCTGAAAGTATGTAAGTACCTGTCATAGTCCGATGAGCTGAGGGTGACTGTACTATAAACTTCACACGTGCAGTCAATAGCCAGTCCTGTGCATAACGATGCAGTGTGGTCACGCCCTAACCCATATCTCGTTTCTCGCAGTCAACGGCGCTACTGTGACTCCCACTTCGGCATGACTGACGGTAATGACAAAAGTGCTGTCGGGACTTCCGGGAAACCAATAAAATATCGATGGCAGCGCAAATAAAATGGCTCCTGATAACAGAGTATTGAATTTAAGATGTTTGCTTGTACGTTACCCAATTTCTGGTTTTATACGCTACTAGCTGGCCCGGCGAACTTCGTACCTGTTCATCAAAGGATTCTAATGGTGAAATATAAATGAAACTAGCCTCCGCCCGCGACTTCGTACGCGTGGAACCCGTTTTACCCCCTTAGGGGTGGAGTTTCGTAAAATCCTTTCTTAGCGGATGCCTACGTCATAACATCTACCTGCATGCCAAATTTCAGCCCGATCCGTCCAGTGGTTTTGGCTGTGCGTTGATAGATCATGATGTCAGTCACCTTTGAGTTATACATATTTAGATATAATATTTTATTTGTTCAAATCAGTCCAGTAGTTTCGGCGCCTATTAGATGCAAACAAACAGTCAAATCTTTCCTCTATAAGTGTAGATTTCTTTCAATTCGATAAACCAACAGTTTACTCTGCAGTGAACCAATTAAGATTGCATTGAGTGTCTTTACTATTGTCTGCGTTTCGCAATTCGAGCAAGAAAATTTGCTGTTTTTTCTCAATTTTCGTTAAATCGGTTTCAAAACAATTGTGCTCTCTCGTTAACAGCCGTTTTTGCACATAAGACCTCTTTATGCTACAGTTGTTGTAAGTATTAATTGTATACTTTTAAAATATTTAGAAGCACATCAACATAATACATTTACGTAGTTAAATACACTGGCCTGCAAAAGAAAGTGTCACACTTTTAAAATTGCAATAAGTTTGTAGGTTCAAAAGATATACTTCCTAAATAACAAGGACTTGAAAAATAGTTTAATTGTTGACTATAGTTTATAAGAAAGCTGATAAGATTTGCTACAAAACGTTGTTTATTTTAAATCTATACCTTTTATAGATTCGAAAAAAATTAAATTTTAAGTGTAGTACTTAGTAGTGCAGGCCAGTGTAGTATAAACTTATAAGATGTCAGTTTGTCTAATTTGATATTTTACTACATTATTATTATTAAGTCCAAGCGTGGGAAAACACCACAATACTGACAATACGCCATAACGCACTCCATACCTCAAAATTAGAAAGATTCATAAAGATAATCAAATTATTAAACAATGGTGAATCATTAAGTTTAACTATCACCGCTACTGTAATAAAGAAAGAAAGCTTTAGTATTAGGTAATAAGCTTAAAAGTAAAAGTTTATGTGAAGTATTTGCTATTTTTACTGCCCAAATTAGTTGGCAGTATTGATACATTTTATGACCATTCCACCCTAAAATTAATGTAGTAGGTCTTATTTTGTTCGAATACATATGATAACGAAGATAATAAATTCCTCTTTAATAACTTCGCACTTGCATCGGACTAAATATGGTATAGCGTTACAACTTTGGAAGGAGCACTTTGAGTTGGTGGTTCTAAAGGCCATATGTTTTGTGTAAAACTTAATATTTCAGCAGATATCACAAAAACAATACGACATTCTGGCGATAGATAAAATACAGCTTAAAAAGTGTGACCTACCTTTTTGAATGAATGTAGGTGACATAAACAATAACAACTCTGCAGTTATTTTAAACAAACAGATTAATTTTGTTTATATCTAAGGCTTGGAATAAACTAAGAAATCAAAGACAAAGTATTTAATTTTTTGGTTGCCAAGCACCCATTTCGCTTGAGGGCAGGATTTGCGTTTGTCACCGTAATCATTTCGCGCGTTAAAAATAATAAACACAATAAAAAGTAAGAGCGATCCCGTTGGAATCGCCCGTTTACACGTAGGTACTTGCAACGGGCACTGAATAGGGGAAGCGCAGTACATTTTTATAGCCTGTTATTTTTTATGTCGTCGGCAATTTACGCATGATGCCAGACACTATTATGAGACACAATATTGAATTAAAATCGAACAAGCAATAAAATTTTTTTGCAACCACTACAGCAAAAAGGAAAATGAATTTGCATCAGTGATCATGTTACAGTTTTCAGGACTTTTAAGTAATGATTATACAGTGTGCTTGGGATAGGGCTAGCGATAATTTAAGGCGACGTGTCTGTCAAAACTGAATTTTTTGACAAAAAACTAAACATCATAAAAACAATAAAATTTTTTGGTCATTGTGTTTTTTTAATGACACCATATTATTGGCTTACAAATGCATTTTTTTATTTATCTGTAAGACGGGCACATAAGAAATACAAACATTTTTTATGTAGTCACATCCTCTTGGAATGGGGGGCTTAATTTGGGGTGGGGGTGGGTGGGCCCACATATAGGGGCATTTTTGTTGATAAAATTGACATCACAACATCGCCTTAAATTATCGTTAGTCCTATCCCAAACACACTGTATACTGTCTGATCCTTGCATCGTGTTTAGTGGCTCCTGAACATTTATTTTGTCATCCATTTATGATTTCAAATCGCCGTTTACCTAATAAATCTGGAAAGCCGCAACTTTTTCCAGGGAAGTCTAAATTTTATTCTTGTACTTCCACATGGATTTTTGAGAACAGTTCCTAAAAAGTTGTTTCATACAAGTGGAGGTATTACCTTAATATTGAACTGCTTTAAGACGATTTAACCTTATACAAATGTGCTTAATTGCGGTTTGATGAAAGAAAACCTCCGAATGTAACGAGAAAACTTACAAACTTTATTGACAGATTCAAATCAGGAATTTGAATTTCATATTCACCAAAAGTATGAATATGTAAAGCGTAATTCTTTGATATCGTTTTTTTACTAACAGAAATTGGCATTTATGAAATTTCCAACAACACCG